GTCTCTGATCATGATGTCACTGTAATCGACCTTGGTTTTGCATTGGCACTCGATCCTGAAGCTGCACACCCCGGCCTGACCGCGGAGGCGAGCAGAGCTGGCACGCACCGGCTCGTCACGGTCCTGGCGCATTTGCTGCAGCTGTACTCTTGCGACCCTGACGTTCTCTTGACGCACGGCAAGGGTCTTGATGTCGCCGAGAACGGTCTGTTCATCACTGGAGGCGAGGGCGCCAAAGGTCCGTGTGAGGTCCTTCCTTAGTGCCTCGTCGCAACACTCAAGTAGCTGGAAGACTTTGTCCGAGCCTGTGAGATGTGTGGCAGCCTTGTAATTGGCCCATCTCTGTTTGAAGTATGCCCATTCTTCACTTGTGCCAGCTGCAGATATCACAGGTCGCTTCACCTTCTCTGCCTTTGCTGCACCTGAGGCGGACGCTGGCATGTGGGCTGGGTCAGCTGGATGAGCAGTCCGTTCGTGCAGATTGATCAGGCGGAGCAGGATCTCCGTAGGTGTGGCAGCGGGCCATGTCGTGGCGCAATCAGGTGCTGGGCAAGGTATGGTGCTCATAGTCCTTCAACTGAATACGCTGTAGTCATAAATAAGTATGATACTATTTGCCTTCAAGCAATGACTACAGCGTCTGCAATGAAACACAAAACAACAACAACAGGTTTAAAGTCACAGTTCTCTAGTATCAATGTCCCATTGGGCTGAAGTTCCATTGGTCCGAAGTGCCATTGGTCCAAAGTCCCATTGGTCCAAAATCCCATTGGTCCAAAGTCCCTTTGATCCAAAGTCCCATTGGTCCAAAGTCCCAATGGTCCAAAGTCCCATTGGTCCAAAGTCCCATTGGTCCAAAGTCCCATTGATCCAAAGTCCCATTGGTCCAAAGTCCCATTGGTCCGACATCCCATTGGTCCGAAGTCCCATTGGTCCCGTGGAGTCCCAAAGGTCCCGTGGAGTGCTGTGACCTCGTGGTTAAGGGCACTGGATTTGTGGTCTGTTGGTAAAGCTGCGGGTTGTGGGTTCGAGTTCAGCCAGGGTCATGGTGCGTGTGCCTTTGAGCAAGGCACTTCGTCACTCATTGCTTCTTTCCACCCAGGAGTAAATGGGTACCTGTGAGGGCAGAGATGGTTATTAGGGAGATTTCGCAAGCGAATGGGTACGCTTACACTTACGTTTTAGCTATCCGTATCTGTTTTTCACTTACGTGTAGCGAGCGAGATATGCGTGTCGTCTGCACGCTTTAATAGCGGATAGTGAGTGGCGTATGACATCATAACTGATGACGTATCCGTCGCACTAAATTTATCCGTTTGCATGCGAAACCTCTCTATTGTGATTGAATAAGCTTGCTTGCGCCTAACAGGCAGCATCCAGCTGTATACTCCCCAGGGAGCTGAGATGGTATTTTGAATGTTTAATTGGCCCAATGATCAGGGGTAATAATAATACTGTAAGCGCTGTGATTTAGTTTACTAATAAGAGCATTCTTAAATGCTGATACTTATTATTATTATTATTATTATTGGTCCAAAGTCCCATTGGTCCAAAATCCCATTTGTCCAAAGTCCCATTGGTCCAAAGTCCCATTAGTCCAAAGTCCCATTGGTCCAAAGTCCCATTTGTCCGAAGTCCCATTGGTCCAACACCCCATATAGGATTAGGGTTAGAGTTAGGGTTTAGGGTTAGGGTCAGTCAACCTGAACCAGTGGAACTACAAAGTATTGTTTCGTCGGACCTATGGGATGTCGAACCAATGGGACGTCGGATCAATAGGACATCGGACCAATGGGGCTTCGGACCAATGGTACCTCGGACTATTGAGACGTAACCCCGGTATGTGCCCCAAATTGTGCTGCCTAATATTTGCGCAACAAACTTTTTCAGTTTGTATCTTTTGACATGCAACAAGGACCAACATCAAATCACCATCAATGTTAAAGAGCATACATAAATTTCATCAAGTTTCTACATGTATGTGTTGTTTTTTCCATAATCAATTCGAGGAAGTCCAGCACCACATTCAAAATGTATGTTGATCGGAAATAGTTGGAATGCGGAGCTCACTTGACAATTAAATACTGTGCGGAGTATGGTGATACTAGCTTGACACTGATAACCACTGTCGAGGAAAGAAGGTTGCTGTATTATGCATGCAAGAACGACTTTCGGGTCCACTTTTGCGACCCCAAAAAGTCCAGCTGTTTGGGTGCTAGTTGTAATTTCATCTGAAAAGTGTTCGCCTTTTGGGGACGTGAAGAAACCATATTTTGTGCATGGGTGATTGGTCACCGCTGTTCGCGAGCACAGTGCTGTAGCTGTGTAGACACACACAATGTGTATGTCATACATTGAATGGGAACGACAGGAAAAACGTATTCGTACTCCATCTTGTCCGATGTAAACAACCAGGTGTTTTTTTCGTCTTTTTACGGGAACTGTAAGACATTAGGTTGGTTTCCTTTCAACCCGATGTTGAAAATTTGATAAGTTAACAATCCAAAACATAGTACCCTTTTAATGTTGGGCCAGGCCTCAGGGGCTGTATCATCGGCAAAAAAATCTGAAATGTAGACACATTTTTTTCTCCAGACACTTGGCCTCTGTAAAATCAAAAGGGGGAAGGGGGGGGGGGGGCTCGTACCGGTACCATACTTTCAATGGGGGCACTGTTCAAATACGAATATTATTAACGCTATATCACATAATATACTAGATATACCCCCGAACCAAGCTGGCTCTGTACGCATTTTGGGCAAGGCGGACATTACTACTAGCAAAAAAATGTTTGTGTCGGAGCAGGGTATTTTTTCCCCATTTTTTTTCATGAATTTCTATGGAAACAATTATTTTTGACAGACCTGTTTTTGTTTTTTTTGGACCCCCAAACCCCCCCCCCCCCCTCTTGAGCCTGAGCCTACACAGATTGTGTCGAATATCAGCAAGCTCAATTTTGTGGAAAAGAGGGCAGGGTTTTGATTTGTGAAGGAAATTATTATGGCTGGGTAAAACTGGCAATGAAGACAACCTGCTTACCTGCTGCAGCATTCGAGGGGAAAAAAACAGTCTAGCTATGTGCCAAAAAAGGTGACAATTTTAAAGAAAATCACACTTTCTTCAAAACTTATCCAAATGACCGTGATAACCAACTCTGCATTCTGTGTAATTTTCTTGTGCAATCGAAAGGAGATGGAACTTTCATTCGAACAAAATTTTGACACACAAGACACCTAAAAACACTTCGCTGTCCAAAGGTTTTTTGCAAAAGTTTAGTCTTGTTCCCTAACTGACAATTTCCCCCGACGCCCAGACGTCTAAATTGTAGGTCAGGCAACCGCAGGGGCTAATGAGGCCTGTTTGCAAAGCTCAGCTTTGACGTGACCGTTTTGGCTCTATTTAATTTATAGCTTTTAATGTTCCAATCAAAGTTTTAGATATCATTCAGTTATGATATACAGTTTTATATTTCTGTAAGAAAACATTGACTAAAGTTGACCTGGAACCCCAGGCACTGTTAGCAGGCGGAGCCGAAATGGAGACCACGCCGAGTTTTGGAAAATCCCTGTAACTGTCATCAAATTCAAAATAGTACATCACGCAGCCAAGCTCGCCCCTCGTTTGATCTGAGGGCATACTTGATGCCTAAAATCGTCATTGAATTTCAAGTTTTTTAAATGCATATGAATATTAAAGGATCATGAAATGAATTTCTCTGAGGATTTTTATGACTTAAATACATTCAACACAGCTTTCTTGCCATGTTACTATGACTTTCCCACCTCCTTTGTAGCAGTAAAAGGGAGAAATTTCAACATTTTAGTTGTATGCTAATGAAATTTCCATATTCAAGAGCCAAAGTGTGATGTCATTCAAGGCAGAACAGTAGTGTCTCCATAGCTTTGAGCACAAATATATATCAAACTTTTCTTCATTGTCGTGGAGTAAGTTCCACTTTTTGCTGTTTATAAACAGCTTGTTTGGACAATAGTAGTGGCCAATATTTCTTCAAAACTTTCTTTTGGTGGTAATTTGAAGGACTAATTTTGTATGTTCATATGCACTTTTAACAAGCAGTTCCTTGTGTAACAAAAGCAAAATTTCACTTCCAATGAAAACAAGTACATTGTATTAAGATCCTGTATGTACTGTTGCAACACATACAATGTAGTAATGTGCATGAGAACAAGATGAGCTGAATTTCCACTGCATGTTTCCTTTAATTATCAACTCCTTTTAATTTTTTTAATAAGCATGGCAGGTAAATAAAACCTATTTTACACCTGGAAATACCTGGGCGCTATCCGAGAGTCTTGACGAAATGCATTCGGCAAACATACCAGTGCGACAATGTTTGAAAAGTAATCACTAAATTCTTGATATGAAATGAGGAGGAATCAAATGAAAGTTGTAACTGGTACTCAGCCCCATAGGTTTGTGCACAAATTGCCTGGTGTGTGCAACAAGCTCCCTCAAGAAATCTGCCAGTCTGACTCTTGACAACATTTCGGAAACGTTTGAAGACTAACTATTCAGAGCTCATTAATTCAGTTTAGGATATATGTAGGCTTTATGAGAACCTGTTATTATTATTATTATTATTCCAAGATGCATTGTGAATTTTGAAAAGGTTTATTCTGAACATGTGCAGTGAACACTGAAGTAAAGTCTGTGCTAAGGGCCCTACAAATTATGTGAGCACAAAAGTTAATAAAATGATGGCATTTTTTCATGGAAATATTTCGACCTGATACTCGGCATTGGGATTCTTGTACCCAAGCAGAATATTTCCAGTGTGTGGCCGTATAATAGGGCTAGCACGCAGTGACTGTTTTTCTTAAGACTTGGACATTTTTACCGTAACAATCTTAGTCTGGTTCCGCACCAGCATGGGGTCATGAAATTTTGAAAATTATTGTGCACAACCATTTAGGAATGTCTCCCTAAAGTACATGTACCTTTTAGGTAATAATAATAAATCTTAATGTTTTCATCCTCAGATGGCAACAATCATAAAAATAATAACAGGTGCCGAACACAGGCCTAACTCGATGTACGTGATGAAGTGCATACCGGTAACAAATAATCTCCAAATCGCACCAGTATTTATGAACCACGAGGCTGTGTCTAGGTTCAAAGTTGGCTTCTTCTACAGACTTATCGGACATACCACTTTCAAGATGGCAAATGATGAGATGGCAATTCAAATCAGTGCAAGGACTCAGGTGAGTACAATGTATACAGACTTGTAATGCAAAATGTGCACATATTTACATACATGTACATGTACCTGCGTACACATGTACCTAGTGGAAAAAGTTGGCCCCCATATTATTTCTATTGTCATTTCTTTTCTTTTAGAACTTTCAATGGCAACCATTTGACATTCCACCTGAAGTTGAAGAAGGATTTTTCCATGCATTTGTTCTCTCTGTTGAAGAGGTACTGAAGCTACCACCACACACAAGAACTTCCATTCAAGGAACACTGACTTATGTAAGTAACACAGTATGATACAAAGATTCTTACTTTTTAAGTCTTTAAAGGTAGCGTCCATCATTTGTAATTTGTGCATTATGTTTGATTAAAGCAACAAAAGTGCTCAAAATCTAAAGAAGGGTGCTGAAGAACTAACCTGATAAAGTTTCAGCTCAGTGATTGCTGTATATTCCGAGAAAACAATATTCTAGAATCTCGATTTCAAATCAAAAGTTGCTGAGTCATGTTTTGAAATGGGCCTGAATTCAGCGTTCGAGACACGTTCTCATTGAGCCAATTGTAACTACGCAATGTCCTGCACTGAACCGACGAATTACAGCAACCGCATGCGTGTGCGTCATGTCAACGCTTATGCGCGCTTCGCCGAAATTTCCAAGGAAGACGCATCGTTGGAAAGGCCTTCTTTCGTTGATTTCTTCAAAACGACAGCTTGCCAGGAAGAATAATTTCACAGGGAGTTTAGTCCCATTACTATCTTTAAACCAAGTATGCTTTTCAACAATAATTACGTCAGTTACTTTTTGGATAGCTGCAAATGATGGACTCTACCTTTAAGCCATCTCTTGAAACAGTAAAACTTTTATAGGTAACAGCAGAACAGTGAACTGTACTGTAAACTAGCAGAAGAAATTTGTCTAAGTAAAGCATTTTACTACAAGGGGTGCAAATAAACCATACTGACATTTATATTGTTGTATTTTACAATTGTCAGGTCTCAACAGTTAAAGAAGCTACAACGTGGAAGAAAAGGACACTGCGTCTCTCAGACCCATCATCTCATAGGGAAGTAGTCAATTTGTGGAATATGTTGACATCAAAGCCTTTGCCTCATTTAAACTTAGGAGTGGTGGTTTGTAATGTAGTAACCACCATGCACCAAGGACAGGTGTCATGTAATACTACACCAGAGACAGATATCAAGGTAAGCATTCTGTTTTGAACAAAACTTCATATAGATCAAAATTATCCCTCAACTGCAATAAAAACTCAACTCTTCTATGCAGTCAAATATTCTTCTGTACAATGCCCAAAAAAGTTAACTTTCTCTGAACAGTCATTTCCATATTTCTTTCTTGTTTCAAAAATACTTGTACAAAGCAGGCTAGTAAGATAGCTTGTATGATTCCATTTTGCAGACATGCACTTCAGGCTGTTTATACAGAACAAAAATACTAGTTTTAACTTTTCTATATAAGAATATAATTTCAAATTACTTTGTGTAGTGGAGACACGTACTACCAGGCCTTGAATTTTTGGCCTTGGATAAAGCAAAATTATGGAGGGCACTAAGGCTAGTACTAGTAGGTAGGGCATCAAGGCCAAAATGGACCTTTATCATTCTGCCACCATTTCAGTCATGTTCCCTGTATCCAAAAATAGTACTGAATGATAACGCTTTTTTGCAAAAAGGAACCAGACTGGTTTTCCTTCCAGCCTCGCTTTGGTTACGTTGATTTGAATGGGACAATCCAAATGGCCGCAACATGATAATGGTCTGTAATGTCTGCAGAGGGGGCACAGTGGCTAAATGCGAATATATAATTATATCTTTTGACGTTCGGAGCACCACGTGCACGCGTGTTGTGACCATCGTCGTTTGACTCGTACATGAACATCAATGGGTATTGTGTACTGCGCATGAAAGTACTAAGAAAAAGAAAGTGGGTTTGACACGTTAGATCTGTCGTACGTACTTTTGCTGGTGTGTGTGTACGATTTTTATTTTTTGCGGCAGGGCTGTTACTGCTTGACATATCGGTACACTCTGGAACTGGACTATTCAGTTTGTGATATGTGTACATGTACATCGTACATATACGTACGTACGTACAGTGGGGAATCGCGAAGCCAGATTCAGTTTGTGTTTACATACATCATTTACCTGGCCGGGTGTACGTGTATGATTGATTCACCAAGATTTTAAAGGGGCACTAGGTCCTGAAATCCCCGAAAATTTCATGTTTTCACTTTTCCAAAATATTCAAACCAAAAACTGTTTTTCACACAAAAAACATTTTTTCACACAAGGTCTTCCTAAAAAAAAGAAGAATTTTCACAAAACAACACATAAAACTCATGATATATTTTGTTATTCATCGGTGTACATTTTTCCTATTCAACAGGAGCAAATAATAACAAAAGAAATCCAAATCACTGGCTACTGTGAGGAAAGGTAAGACCATAAGGGCTTTTAAATAATTTTCTAAAAAATGTGGAAGAATGTTGTACTCTGACGCCACTTTTTTTCATCAAATCTCAGTGAAGGTCAGTCATTGCATGGAAGAATAAGAACACATGGTCAATGCAAAAATGTTAAAAAGACATGAATCTGGGACTGAAAAACATTTCCAATTTTGTTGGAAACAACTTCGAAAATGCACTCGACTGTCCATAGACTTTGTACACAACCAAAGAAGTGGAGTTGGACAAGAGAAGTGAACATATTTACAGTGTCATTTAGAGTTGTATTGGTGTACAATGAACAGTTTTAGATGCTTTTGCTTTAACCATCAAATTTGTGGACTTTTTCTGTGTTTTTTTACTGCATTTTCGAAAATAAAAATAATGAAAAAATCCAGGCGGCCTCCAAAAAGGAAGCGGGCGGGGATGAAAAAACATGGTTTTTTTTTAATTCACCTAATATTGTCAACAGGAGGAAATAAGTAACACATATTATGATCCATCTATTCACCACGGAGATAGTATACAAAGCAATAAGAAACCTTCAAGCATAGGTCGGTGCTTATTTGTGAGTGCTTGTGAAACTCTTGTAATTTAATACCACATATATCATGTCTACCAACTTGAACCATTATTTTCTACAGATTCAATGTACTAATTATCTCCGAAGCTGATGAAGAATTCTGTGTGACGAAACAAATGCTCCTCGACCTCGCAAATGTTGCATCCTTGGAGGACTTCCAACTAAAACTGCCAGTACGTGCTCTAATATCATACAACACAGAGAAAATCATCATGAGTATGCAATAGTACATGTAAGTACACAAATATTTTAAACATAACTCAGTTTCAGCTTTTTTTTACAACAATCTGTTTACCTTGTCAATCTCATAGAGTGCGTTCGATTATTTCCCCCGCGCTTACTTGTGCAAGCACAACAGCTTTTGATTTACCTCTCACGTGACTTCTCGCGCTTACTCGTGCCTGGCCAAAGTAATCAACTCGCTGAGCCGGTTACTTGGGTAAGTATCCCATAAGGCCATGCAATAAACATGGCTGCCAACGCGACATCCGGTGGGCGCCTCAGGCCGTGTCCGAAACGGGCTTTCAGAGCTACAGCTATACGTCTATTGTCAGTGCGTCCCCGCATACTTTCAATGGGCGTGGACCTAGACTAGACCTAGCTCTAGACAGTTGATTCAGATGCAGCCTGTGTCATGTCAAAGTTCAACTTTCCAGCTCTTACGCGAAGAGCCAGGCGCAAGGAAGCTGGGGGAAGTAATCAAACGCACTCTTTATGGCTCTATTAACCTCAGTGTGTACCACACAATTTGATAGGTCCATATTTACATCCACGTGATCCATGACACAATTAAATGACAATTAAAGTGCCAGTATGTTTTATTCCACATATTTTTATAGGCATTAAATAATGCATATTGGTGCTGCATTAATATTTAAAATAAACCAATTGTCCATTCAGTGCCGCACCTACAAGAGCAGGGGCCAAAGGAGGCTCAAGGCCTATAATGCCCCACCCACAGTCCAATTTTGTTTGTGTGCTTCAAGGATATATCATTACATCCATCCGTACCTTTCTCATTGTATTATATTGTGGTGTTGCTTTCCTGCTTGAGTGTGATCTCTCGATTTCAGCGTAGATTTGATCTCCTTGAGTTCGGGAGCGATTGCAGAATTGACCTTGTCAGTCACCTCGATGGTGATTGTTTGTTTCAGTTCACGTCCAAACACCTGTAAGCGATCTTCCATCAAAAGGAGTTTGTCACTCACTCGGCGTACGAGTTGGTTCCTGATCTTCACCAACCGTACTAATGGCACACAGATATTCTTGCAAAATTTGTCTTGAAGCTTTAAGCCCGGTTCATACTTCATGAGAATGCGAAGCAAATTGACGTCATGAAACAATCGCTGCGAAATTCGCCTGAGTTGAAATACTTGCCATGACGTCACAAATTCCTGTTCACTTTTGCTTTTGCGCTGAGTATGAACCGGGCTTTAAGCTTTTGTGAACCGCAACTATATGCTCAGCTTCATTCAAATTTTGAAGTTGTTTGACCATCACATCATTTCCCGTTGCACATCTGGCATCCCTTTCAGGAAATGCTCGATGGTCAATTTCTCTTGCAGCTCTTCTTGTGCTGCAGGGTAGGCTTTCACAACGTTGGCACGCATCTTGGCAGCAAACTTGGCCTTCGATTCTCTCGCGTTCTGTTTCAATCTGTGCAACTGTGCCCTATATGTCTCCGGCAGTGCTCTGTCACCGAATCGTCGCTTCAGCGCTGCCATCATCATGTTATAGTCATCCTGCACTACGCTCGTCAATCCACTCATAAATTTCATCGCATCTCCACGCAAACACCGATACAACTGCTCAAGGCAATCTCCATCGGACCATCCAGCTCGCAAAGCAATCCTCTTGAAAGGAATTTCAAAGTTCACCCATTCCTCCTTTCCGCCGAACGTAACCATCTTCGGTCGTGGTATTGTATCTTCCCGTCTCCTTGGTAAAAAGCATGTAGCGTGGCAAAACAATAATATGCAAGCTTTGCCAACAGAGGGCGTAATCAAACATGCTCAAATTCCAAGTGTTTAAACAACCACGTGTCTCAGGTACCATGAAAACTATTAAAACTTAGAAATCAAAATCCCATTAGCAATTCAGATGTGTCCAGCAAACCTTACTTTCAACAAACAACATGTTTCACATGTTTGCCAATCACACCAAAACCGAGACATTTCATACAGTAATGAACATTTGTTGTGGAGACCATCATTCTTCAACCTTACATTTAATAGATTTCATACAGAAAGAGAACAAAGTATTGTATACCTTTTAGCCTCCTTCAGTCTGATAAATGAAAACAACTTTGTGTGTCTACTTCATGCAATTCAGCAAGATAAAAACAATGTTCACCTATTTTTGACGCTACTCGAGCTGTACTCGACTCGAGACGTTGTGACCAATGCTTGAACATGCAATGATCCTGGGCAGCATGAACAGCCTGATCACCTTTAAAGCCGATGGCATTAAGGTCGGCTATGATCTGTGAGAGGTAAGTGTGGCACAGGCCTTTTTCTTGTCAAAAGGTTTATGATGGTTGGTTTTGTGGGTTCAAGAAGACAGTGAGAGGCACCTCAGGTATCCACAGTGCATGACCATTTAAGAGAAGGCTACTTCTTTGCAGGTAGGTTTTTTCAGGTGCTACGCATGTATGAGCTTACAAGTCCACGTTGCATGGCTATACCGGGAAGTGCACACCAAGGCAGTAATGCAGGAGAGCACGGGGGGAAATGTCAAGATGCCTGGCCATGGTTTCCATGATCCCTAGGGCATCACAAAGTATAATAGCGGTGTCTCAACTGTGGACAATTGGGGCTATCGCTGGCTACTCCGTCCCGCACAGGTGTGAGTTTTCATGCTGTGACCCATGCCAGCTGTCGTCTTGGCTGAATGGCACTTCTTCTATCTGCCACGCTGCATCCCAGGTAGCAAAAGTCATCGCAGGCTGCAAGGGTGACACCGACTGTTATACAAATGGCAGTGTGTTGACATTGACATTATCACCTCAATGAAAGCCGTGGGTATACATGTACCATAGAATGGCAGAATCTCTCTCAGGGCCTCGCGGTCGAAACAGTCAAAGGCTTTGGAGAAGTCCACAAAGGCTATCATCATACTCCGCTTCCTGGAGGGTCACGCATCAATAGCCATTCGTAGACATGCGATTTGTTCGACAGTGTTACAATTACGTCAGAAACCAGCCTGCAATGGTGAAATGAGTGTCTCTATCGGCTCCCAGAGACGGACCAATAGCACATGATTGAAGAGTTTAGCATGGACTGACATGAGGCTGAGTCCGCACTGGTTGGTGAGTTGCATACTGTTTCCCGTTTTGGGGATTGCAACGATGATGGATCAACACCATTCCAGTGGAGGGTCATCGCCAGACAGCACGTCATTCACCAACGATGTCGGATGGCAGCTCATCAGGACCTGCAGCCTTGCAAGGGGGAGATTATTGGACGGCCTTGCGAAGTTCTTCCATTGTGATAGCAATTTATATTAGGTGCCATGGTAATGGACCGATTGGTGGCAGATCCAGGAGCCCACGCAAATATCTAGCTATCTTTGTTAACCGGTCTTCTATGGACTTAGCAGCAACGATGGCGTTGGGTTGCACTTTTCTGCCGCTGATCTTATCAGTAGCTCGCCAGACTGCTTGACTGTGACCTGTCTCGTGATGTTGTGAGATCTCATTGGATATTTGATGTATAAGTTCATCCCTTCGTCACAGGTATTTTTGAGGTTCGCCTCCAACTGTCGGTGATTTGAGTTTGGATTTGTTTGGTATCCAACATTGAGTTGACGGCTGGCAGGCGCCACTATTTGATCTGTATCCCATAAGCAGACCTTCAGCATAGGACAACGCTTAGGTAGAACTTTGGCTGCGGCATGTCTAACTGATTCAACATAGTCTGCATAGCCTGGCCTTTGGTCATGCTTTTAGAAGGTTTCGTCGATGTAACGATGTTGTATGGCGCGCAATCTTAAAGCAGACCAGAGTTGTGGACGTTCTTTCCTGGTGTGTTTCATCAGCCTCTTTAGTCGAAGACTGAGTGTGCATGTTAAGAGTGTGTGATCAGAAGGACCGCAATGTGGCTTGATGTTGCGCAACTTGCATATCAGACGTGCCCATTTCTTGTTCACAAAACTGTACATGTAGTTTCCGAGGCCCATTAATAGCAGGGCACGATGTTGTCGCATATATAGTTCCAATTTCATGCCACTAACTCGCTGCTAAAAACAAAGTCCAAAACGGCTGCAACGTGAGGTGTCATGTGCTTGACACAAGCTTGATGTGGATTGCTGTTCTTCACGGTCATGCTGTCGGGCGGAAGATCGGCGTTGAGATCGCAGACGAATGCTGTAATGTTGCGACTTGGTTTCGAAGCCAGGTACCCCCCAACAATGTCAATCATGGGTGTCGGTGATATCAGCAGCACAGGCAGTTTGCATGTGCAGTTATCAGGAGTAGCCATTTGTTGTGCAGTTGGACGGTCATTGAAATTATTAAAGTTGTTATAAAACAACTCCCTTTCTTCCCTTTCTTCCTCTTTCTTTTTTGTCATTTTTCAGTTATTCTTTTTCTTTGAGCTTTTTTCTTTTTGGCACCGGTCTTCAAAATATGGTTAGCACCTAAAACAAGCACAGCTTTTTACATATATACTCAAGACTCAATACCACCCATAGCTCATGCCAATTGTACAATGTAAGAGAAGTGCCCAAAACAGTAAGACGAATCACTGGCAAACATGCACCAACATAACAAATTAACTACATGTTAAGTGTTTGTGTCAATTTCTTCTGACTTCTCTCATAGTTAAGCATTTCGTACATCATTCTCAAATTTAAACCACTTCAACAACGTAAGCTTATGGTCTAAGTTGCAGCAGTTTCATATCATTACAATCTCACACCTACTAGAACTAAATCATAAACACCATTTTTTATTATTATTTAGCTCAAGACAGTAGCCCATCAACAAAAGAAAAAAAAATTGAAATCAAAAATGTGAATTGCCACTTTTGTAAAATCAAAACTGTAACCTCATTCCAATAAATGTATATCTAAAACTTGTACTTCCAAAGAACTAATCATAACATGTATACATGTATCCATGTATATCATTACTTAAGCTCAATTGTATATACCCCTAAAGTACTAAATAAAAAATTGTAGACAATTTATTTGTTAAAGAAATCAACTTCCATAACATGTTGATTTTTCTTGTTCATTTTAAAGGATCAGTGACAAATTAAATCAAGCAACCAACAGACTACAAGTGACAACACCTCACCCTTGACAGCAGAAGAAATGCTGAAGACACAAGAGTAACCATGAAGGCCGACGCCAAAAACGACGGGACAAATCAGCAACACAAGACCAATCAAAAGTGATCAATGCAACTCCACCAAAATCACCTTGACTTACAAGTTGAACCAAAAGTCCAAATTTTTTCAATTATGTAACTACAATTTTAACAAATTTTTCCCTTATTTCTTAAATATCAACACAAAAATGTTTAATCCCAACACAAAAAAGTTTTGAAATATTGATTTGTTTTAATTACATCTTTAGCTTTTGTTCTAACATATTTAAACTGTTTCACCTTTATTTACTCTTTTGTTAAGCACACTGTGTGCATCTCTATATTATATGATAAAAAATCAACTTTAACTTTAATCATACCAACACATAATTATAGAGCAATTGATAATTCAGCACCACCAAAACAATTAATCACCAATAGGCACGCCCCTCCTGACATCTTTAATACACAAGACAATGCAAGTGAGCATGGCAGTAATCTGGAGAAGAACCAAAACAAATGAATCAGTCCCCTCATATTCATTGTTTTCTATGAACAACCTTAACCCCTTGATGCCGGGTTTTAGCGCCTCACTGATGGGCATATATGCACAGTAGCGGCACTGCAGCTGCCTAGCATTTGTCCACAGACAGCTACCACGGCATACTGGGCCGCAGCTATAGCCGTCAGCCGGGGGGGTTTGTTTTTGTTTAGTCCCATGATTTGGCCTTGGTGATATGAATGTGGCCTGTTTTCGAGTAGTATAAAAGGGGTGTAAATGGCACCACCAACGTCAAAATAGGCCGCCCCTAAAAAAAAAAAATGCGGCCAAAAATGTTGGGCAAAATTGTTTGAAAAAAATTCTACGTTTAACAAATTTGTAAAATAATTTTTTTGAGCCCCCCCCCCCAAGGCATTTGACGATAGTGTCTGCCTAAACTCCATGGGCTGCGCCGAATGCCTTGACCAAGGCTAGTAAAACTAATAAATGCTATCGTCCAACGTCTTGACCAAGGCTGGTAAAACTAGTAAGTTCTATTGTCTAACATCTTGACCATGGCTGGTAAAACTAGTAAGTTCTGTCGTCCAATGTCTTGACCAAGGCTGGTAAAACTAGTAAGTTCTATCATCCAACGTCTTGACCAAGGCTGGTAAAACTAGTAAGTTGTATCATCCAGTGCCTTGACCAAGGCTGGTAAAACTAGTAAGTTCTGTCGTCCAACATGGCTGGTAAAACTAGTAAGCTCTATCATCCACTGCCTTGACCAAGGCTGGTAAAACTAGTTAGTTGTATCGGCCAACATCTTGACCAAGGCTGGTAAAACTAATAAGTTCTATTGTCTAACATCTTGACCATGGCTGGTAAAACTAGTAAGTTCTGTCGTCCAACATGGCTGGTAGAACTAGTAAGTTCTATCATCCACTGCCTTGACCAAGGCTGGCAAAACTAGTTAGTTGTATCTGCCAACGTCTTGACCAAGGCTGGTAAAACTAATAAGTTCTATTGTCTAACATCTTGACCATGGCTGGTAAAACTAGTAAGTTCTGTCGTCCAATGTCTTGACCAAGGCTGGTAAAACTAGTAAGTTGTATCGTCTAACATCTTGACCAAGGCTGGTAAAACTAGTAAGATCTATCATCCACTGCCTTGACCAAGGCTGGTAAAACTAGTAAGTTGTATCGTCCAACATCTTGACCAAGGCTGGTAAAACTAATAAGTTCTATCGTCTAGCATCTTGACCAAGGCTGGTAAAACTAGTAAGCTCTGTCGTCCACATGGCTGGTAAAACTAGTAAGTTATATCATCCACTGCCTTGACCAAGGCTGGTAAAACTAGTAAGTTCTATCGTCCAACGTCTTGACCAAGGCTGGTAAAACTAGTAAGTTCTGTCGTCCACATGGCTGGTAAAACTAGTAAGTTCTATCATCCACTGCCTTGACCAAGGCTGGTAAAACTAGTAAGTTGTATCGTCCAACATCTTGACCAAGGCTGGTAAAACTAATAAGTTCTATCGTCTAGCATCTTGACCAAGGCTGGTAAAACTAGTAAGTTCTATCATCCAGTGTCTTGACCAAGGCTGGTAAAACTAGTAAGTTCTATCATCCAACATCTTGACCAAGGCTCGTAAAACTAGTAAGATATATCGTCCAACGTCTTGACCAAGGCTGGTAAAACTAGTAAGTTCTATCATCCAACGTCTGGACCAAGGCTGGTAAAACTAAGGAGTTGTATCCTTCAATGTCTTGACCAAGGCTGGTAAAACTAGTAAGTTGTATCATCCAGTGCCTTGACCAAGGCTGGTAAAACTAGTAAGCTCTGTCGTCGAACATGGCTGGTAAAACTAGTAAGTTGTATCATCCACTGCCTTGACCAAGGCTGGTAAAACTAGACTCAGTAAGTTGTATCGTCCAACGTCTTGACCAAGGCTGGTTAAACTAATAAGTTCTATCGTTTAACATCTTGACCATGGCTGGTAAAACTAGTAAGCTCTGTCGTCCAATGTCTTGACCAAGGCTGGTAAAACTAAGAAGTTATATCCTTCAGTGTCTTGACCAAGGCTGGTAGAATTAGTAAGTTGTATCATCCAGTGTCTTGACCAAGGCTGGTAAAACTAGTAAGCTCTGTCGTCGAACATGGCTGGTAAAACTAGTAAGTTCTATCATCCACTGCCTTGACCAAGGCTGGTAAAACTAGTAAGTTCTATCGTCTAACATCTTGACCATGGCTGGTAAAACTAGTAAGTTCTGTCCAATGTCTTGACCAAGGCTGGTAAAACTAGTAAGTTCTATCGTCCAACGTCTTGACCAAGGCTGGTAAAACTAGTAAGTTCTGTCGTCCACATGGCTGGTAAAACTAGTAAGTTCTATCATCCACTGCCTTGACCAAGGCTGGTAAAAATGGTAAGTTGTATTGTCCAACATCTTGACCAAGGCAACTAATAAGTTGTATCTGTATCGTCTAACATCTTGACCAAGGCTGGTAAAACTAGTAAGTTCTATCATCCAGTGTCTTGACCAAGGCTGGTAAAACTGGTAAGTTCTATCATCCAACATCTTGACCAAGGCTGGTAAAACTAGTAAGTTCTATCGTCCAACGTCTTGACCAAGGCTGGTAAAACTGTAAAATTGTTTGCAAATTGGAGGATTCAAGACTGTAAGGGTTAATTTAGTTATTCAGCTTTCTTTAATTTAATAAGGACACCACCAAATTGTCGAGTTTATTTAATTTAAAAAAATCTAATAAAAAAATTACTGTTGACAGGAACAACAAATTGTGTTTACTGTTCAGTATTATCCCAAGAACAACTACACAACCAGTGTCAAATGTGAAGTATGCGCTCATTATGTTACACCCTCTATTTTTATCTGTTCTTTATTTATTCTTATTCTTTTAAATGCATCTGTTTTACATCTTTATTTTTGCCAAATTTCTTGTCTTAATAAAGTATGTTTTGTGTAAGATTGTGTCTAATATTTTCAGTCCACTTTTCTTGTACTTCTTGCTTTTATATTTGTGTCTAATTTTATTTTCATTTAATTTTAATTTGAGGGCTTCTTTGGGAAGCATTGGTTTAAAAAACTGAAATGGACTACCCGCGATAAAAATTACAATAAAATAAAAATAAAAACATTTCTGTCACACTGCAATGCCTGGTTCATGTAAGGGATGCATGCTGGAGGGGTAGTACGTGCTATTCTTACCCACGAATGGCGTTTTACCGAGTGGCATTATCCATGACGTCCCCTAATGTTTCTAATCCTCCATTATTTTGAACGAATGGAGCACGCGACTTTGTTTTATAGAAAGACACAAGCTTTTTGTTTAAAAGCGAGACGGATGTGACGCTAGACCGTGCACAAAAACAATGAACGGCAAGGTTCCTTGCTCTATGGTTGAAGAGAGGCGACACTGTGTCATCTATAGTATTGGTTCGAGCCCAGAAATTTAAAGGGTTCGTGAGATGAATTGTTTTGAGGAACACATTTTGTGGAACGTTCTACTATACCCCTCTTAAAATGTATGAAAACTACTTGACATTCCTTTTTGGTTAATTTTATTGAAAATTCCGTGCACTTATTTGAACATTCAACATTTGCCATGCTTTTCTAGACAATCGAGGGCACTGTACTGTTGCTGTGATGTCGTTTCAGGAAATGTGTTCATTGAATACAAAAAAGTTTGCTCAGTGGCTTAATACCATGTATGACACAACAAATCTCCAAAGAAAAGAAAATTTACAACAGCAAATATCCAACATTGTGGCAACCGTGACTTTTAGTGCTGAAATACCTGCAACACTGAGGTTTCTGCCTGAAATGGCATCACACATATTTTGCTATAATGAATATATGGAAATAGTATAAAACTCGAACTTGAGGCACCAACATACCCCTAAAATAGCAAAATGAAAAATGAAAATAAGGTGAAATGGGACATATTAAGGTGCATTTTCATATTGTATAGGTTTTCCCGGCTATTTTAACACTTGTATCACTGGAATTCCCTATATCGATACTTTAATTTCGTCCCCGATCATCGCAAAGGTCACTTCTCAATTTGAATTTCAGAAAGCTACCACTAGATTTCATTTAAGGTTCAGTATAATTCAAATTGTTAGCATTCCGATTCGTCCAAAATCTTTGAAATTCGTCTCGTGAAGCAATCGGCGTTGAATTGACAAAGCAAATTCGTTTTTTGTCATTCGTTTTCATGTTGTCATTACATTTCGTCCCGGTGACTTAAATCGTATACGATTAGAAAATGCGCCCAATATTTAGACTTATTTGAAGAATTATGCGTATTAAAACAATGATAATTCGACATATATTTCCTTATATGTATAAATAAAAGTAGTTAGCTGTAAGGTATGAATTTTTATTTCTGTGTTTCACAATTAACATTAGAGTCAGGAATTGACATTTCACAATATGCACTTATGACATGGACACTAAGCATTACCTGTAAGTTCAAAGACCTTCTTACATGTAATGTTGTTCTTACCTTATTTCTGTTGTTTTATTCATATACATATATCAAAGAGCAACATTACGAAGGTGTTTGATCTTAATGCTTAATTTTCATATGCTAAGCAAAGAGCATAATTATTGGGAAAGTTCCATTTCTTATTTTAATGTTAATTGTCAAAGAAAACTCAAAACCTACAGCTATACTTTCATTTATACGGAAATATTTGTTAAAAATTAAAATTTATTTAATGCGCAAACAAGTCCAAAGATTGGGCACATTTTTAATGGTAACGTTTTAAGTCACCAGAGACGAAATGTGACGACAAGAACATTAAAACGAATGACAAAAAACGAATTTGCTTTTTCAATTCAACGCCGATTGCTTCACGAGACGAATTTCAAAGATTTTGGACGAATCGGAGTGCTAACAATTTGAATTATACTGAACCTTAAATGAAATCTAGTGGTGGCTTTTTGAAATTCAAATTGAGAATTGAGCTTGGCGATGTTCGGGGACGAAATTAAAGTATCGATATAGGGAATTCGTGTGATACAAGTGTTAAAATAGCCGGGAAAACCTATATTAAGAAAAATCACATTGCATGGGCCCCTTAAGGTCCCCCCCCCCCCCAAGTGAATTTTCTTTTCTCAGTTGAATGAAAATGAATGTTCCTATTTTTCCCCCACGTGGCTCTAGAGGATTTCTTTTAATTTTAAAAAAAGCTAAGTGAAGTATGGGAACCATTCCATTACAAACACATGCGCATCATTTAGGTCATTCGCTATACCTGGTTGCAGAAAAAATTGCTCCGAGTGCAGCGTCAAAAATTTTGGACAATTTAGGACCTCCCTCTGCCACATGGGCAGAATCATCTTGTCAAATATTAATAAGATCCGACAGTCCGCTGTAGTTGCGCATGGGAAGGGCGCCCCTAGCGTTAGGTAGGTAAAAAAAAAAGTACAATTCGTTTTGCAAAGCCACTAAACTTGACTTTGGTAAGGGGAATATGTAACATTTTAAAGCAGTGTACATGTATTCTCTTCGCCATGTTTGTTAGGGTTGCAGACCAGTAAATCGGTCCGAAATTGCCTACGCCGGCCAAATCACGATTTGCATGCCCTCAAAATCGTCAGTATTTGAGCATACTGTGGGCCATGAACTTGGGGGTTTGTAAAAAATATGGGTGGAAGCCGTGCACAGGACTGTGAGCTTGTAGTTTCGTTCAATTTGGATGAAATTGGGGCCCTTAAAACGCTCTATTTTGCAATGGAGTGTAGGCATCGTTTTTCAAAATGGCAATGGACTTCAGGACTATTTTCAGGGGTGATCATCTTCGGATGGAAATTTCTCCTAAAAGTCATCAGTTGACCCCCCAAAAATTGAAAAGAAAATGAAAGATGATGAAATAAGCTTTAATTTGATGTGTGTCTCGAACACCTTGGAGAGTTGTGAGTGTTTTTCCCGAATTTCTGAAGTGGGAGCATTTACCATTGGGGTCTATGGAAGTTTATTTACTGGTCTGCAACCTTAGCGTTGTTTGCCTCGCTTTGATTTTCAAGATGGCGTACCCCTGAGAAAGGTCTATAACTTGATTAATGTATCGCAAGCATTGCTAAATCTCAACTCGTTACAACTCTGCCTGTCAGTGAAAATAGTAATTTTCACTGACAGGCAGAAATGTAACGAGTCACCGATTTGTGTGGTTCGCGTGTCGAGTCGAGTCATTTTAAAGAAGTGACTCCAGTCGAGTCGAGTCTTTAGGTCAAGAAGGTCCAGTCGAGTCCAGTCGAGTCAAATAATAGCTCGATTAGAGTCACAAATATTTGAACACTGTATACAAATAAAGACAAGATACAAAGTCATTTGTGTCACTAATAGTTAACAAGAAGTGAATTTCGATCTTATTATACAGGGTGATGACTCCAAAAAATGCAACCCTAAAACATTTGCCTTAAAAAAGGTATCGATGGATTTCTGTGTTCTGGGTATCAAATTAAAGCTGAGAGCTGTTTCTTTCAAACACTGAAAAAAATCATGAAAATAACACCTTGGGTTGCTGGGAAAATGCCAATACAGGGTGAGTTAATAAAAAAACGATTCCCAAATGTCAGGCCTATTGCTTTAGTGAAGTTCTGCATATAGCACTTTCAAAATCTAGGATTTGAAAGCCCAATTCATAAGCTTTCTTTTAGTACAAGAATCATTCAAATCACTCTTTGTACTTTTCAAGTTACGGAATTTTAAACACAACCACCGTTTTAAAGTTCTGTCCACGAATCACAAAAAGGAAGTGTTCTTTCAGCAAAATGAAAACAAATCACATAAGGCCAGGGATGTGTGTGAATTGTTTTCGTTTTGCTGAAAGAACGCACACGTTGTAACATATTTTACACCGTAAGTCATTATTATTGCAAATATTTCTCTCAAAGGTTTGCTTTTATTTTTGGCAAAGGGCGGATCCAGGACTTTCCAACAGGGGGCGGGCGTGAAAATTTGCAGCAAATTGTGAAGGCAAGTTTTGGTGCCTACGTAGCCTTTCGCCAAGGCCATCGTGGCTTATAGAAGCGGAGCTGCGCAAGCCCGAAGCGACTGGAGCAAAGATTAAGTCAGCACGCACGAGTGGCAAAGCCACGAGGCCTTTTCGAACGTGATTTTGTTGAATTATTCATAGTTTTTATGCAAATAAGAAGAGTGCTGAAAGGTTAACCAATCACAACGCGGATTTTGCCTAGTCGCTTCCATTTATGAAAGAAGGGTGAGTAAGGAAAACGTAAGAGCAAATAACTGTAAGTTCAGATGAAAAATAAGTTCATACACTCATTTATTTCTTGAAATACTTTTATAAGTAAAATTAAAATAAGATAATGTGAGAACAATTACGCGGTCACGATCTCGTGGAAAACTAAACTCGCATTTTTTGTTTTTAAATTTTGTGCAAGCATCCGGGCGCGTCGACGCGTACCGTGTAGTAGCCGCGCGCGCACTTAAAGGCTGATGATTGGTTGGAATTTTACTACCCTTTTGGGGTAGCAAAAATCGAGATTATAAAGAAAAACCATAAGAAATTCTTGACAAGTTCGAAAAGGCCCTCGTGGCTTCGCCACTCGCGTGTGTGGTCTCCCGCTTGAGTCGCTTCGCGATTTCCCCGCTTTGTCTAATGCTGGCAAGTACCTTGTACCTTGTAGAAAATATCTCCAAAGAACATCCTCGTGGGAGTATAACTGGATGCTTGATGAGGGTGGTACGCTTCCTAGTGGGGCTTATTTACTCTGCTGATTAATGATTGGAAATTTGAAGTAGATGTTGCACAAACGGTTGACTGGGGTAATGTGTTCCACATGTCAACTGACTCAGAAAAGAAGGATTGTTGCATGATTACCGTCTAGCTCTAGATGGTTTGGGTTTGCAGTAGTCATCTCCATTGATGGCCAACTCGTTTTGGAGAATCTTGTACAATGTGATGAGGCGGGTGTGTTGTCTCATTTCCTCGATGGTGGACCATCCG